ACAAAATGTGCTTGTGCACGTTTGAGGGTCCACGTCACGTGGACTCTGTATAGAGGCTTTTCCATTCCATGTGGTTGTATTTGAATATTCGATAATAGTTTAGGGCCGTTATAATAGCACGCCAACCATATTTAGGCCTAGGTTTCTATGAGGCCTAGGTTTTATGAAAACAAAATAACACGTTACTTCAAATTTTCATTTGAAAAACACTTTTGACAAAAAAAATCTCTATGATGGCTCTAAAATCAATTTTCAACACCAAAAAAAAAATTAAAACTAAAAAAATTGGTATAGATTTTGCAGATATGTGAACATTTATTTTTAGGGCAAAATGGATGGTCTAGATAATTTGTTAGAATATACACTATTTTTAGAGTTGAAAATCTTAAGTTTTTTTACAACCATAATGTTCAAGTCAAGATGATAGGTGTAGAGGTTTTCCAATACTTGAATTGTAATTCTGGATGAGTTATAAGGTAACGCTTTACTTATTTTGATAGGGCAGGAGCCCTATCAAACCATTTTCCAAATATTTATAACTCGGTTAGCATTTAGGAGCTCCAATATTTATAGCATTTAGGAGCTCTTGTCATGACATAACACTGTGTGAGTGAGAGAGAGTTGGTTCCATGCAAGGAGAAAATATACTGAAATTGGCTAGCCGGATAATCTATGATCATGTGGTTATGAGTAGTGCTGGAAACAGGCAGGGCTAGGGCTGGGACTGGACCCGATTGGATCTGACTAAAAAATCATAATATCTATATCCTTAAATATATTTGAATGTATATTTTATAAATTGAGACCTTATATAATGTGAGACCTGAACACATACCTAAATAGTGTTCAGCTCTAAAATTTGGACACAAACCGATTCAACAGGGTTCAATTTTTGAACCCATATCCGGATCTGAGTTAGGTCTAGTCCATTGCCAACCCTGGTAGGAGATTTTAGGTTAGAGCGAGGAGGAGAGAGAAATATTTTAGGTTAGAAAGGGGGAGGAGAGAGTTTTTTCGGTTGGAAAAGTATATGACATATACACTATATTCACGTGATATGCACACTGAATTGTTTCCACATGCCATAGTGGATGCCTCTATTACACACAACTCGTTATGTGTGGTATGGTATAAATTCCTTTCTAATTCTAGGTCGAGGAAGAAGATGTTATAGTTGTGATAATATTGAATTAACATCTAAAGCCATGCTTTTTATGAAACAAAAGAAATTAGAATTAAAAAAAATATTTAGAGTTGCTAAACTAATCCACAAACCCTTTCATGCTATAAATTCAAACCCCACACCAATCCAACAAAAAGTAAAGCATACAGTTCGGTTACAGTTGTGCATCTCACGAGTGCGATCTCTACGTACAGTGTTCTCTTAATTAATATTCATTTCAAATTTAAATAGATTAGAAAGCGATATATGAAAGTTGTGAGAAAAGATATAGAGATTATGGCTTCACTGAGGGTATGATCCTTAACAGAGCAAAATGACAGACCAGGATTTGTGTAGCTGACTCTGATTAGTTGAGTTTAATGACAACGACGAAAAGCGACAAAAATAGACACATTTATTTTTCATTTTCTCCTTAGTTTGAGTGTATATTTTATTGGGGTTATGCTATGCTCTTTAAGAAGCACACTGTACACTTGCTTTGTTAGAAAATTAGTTATTTAGAGGCATTTTTTTTATTTGAAATTTTGGAGTCTATATGATATCGTTTTATGAACATTTTCAAATAAAGTTTAAGATTTGAGTTATGAGATCCAACAACTGGATCTCTCACTCTGTAAATTGAATGGTCTGTATTCAATTTTGGGATGTGGCAGATAACAATTTTTTTTTTTTTTTGTGAGATTTTGGTTGCTAGCTTGACTAGGTTGAACAAATAACATCCCAAAATTCAAGCTCCTAAAATACTTCTAGACTCCCACAAGAACATAATTTTTTTTGATATACTAGAAATGCAGATTATGATATCATATATCATTGTTATAAGGAGGTCACACTCACTTCTAGCCATTAGAAATCAAATTGGATGGCTTGGAATGAACATCTCAAAAATTCAAGCTCTTAAAATACATCTAGACTCCCACGGGAATATAAAATTTTTTGACATACTAGAAATGCATATTATGAGATCATATACCATTGTTATAAGGTGATCACACTCAATCCTAGTTAGTAGATATCAAATTGGATGACTTGGAATGAACATCCCAAAATTCAAGCTCCTAAAATACTTCTAAACTCTCATGGGAGCATAAATTTTTTTGACATACTAGAAATGCATACTATGAAATCATAGATCATTGTTATAAGGAGGTCACACTCACTCTTAGTCATTAAATATCAAATTGGATGGCTTAGAATGTGTCACGAAGTTAAAAAAAAAAATTTCATTTTGAGTGTAGTCGGTAGTAACACACTTATAACTACCCGATTTAAAATATGATGAATAATAGTGATTGTAACCTCTTTGTATTAAAAATAAATAGTTTTTTTGTAGTACCTTTTTATAAACAATATGTACATGTATGGATGTGGTTTGCATAAGGTTGCAACCTTAAACAATCAAATTAAAATGCACTTCCAAACTTTGCCATGAGAAGTAATTTTAGAGTCAAAAATCTTTAGGATGGTACAAGAATCTATGTTTATATCAAATTATAAAATTTTGAACTCCAAAAATAGTTCTAATCAAGCAAATCTACAAACACAATAAAATTTAAAAAATGGACCGTCCAAATAATGTGTTGCAACATATATTATTTTTAAAACTTGAAATCTATTTTTTTTCCACGTCAATATATCTTGATATCAAGATGATCATTTAGATGTTTTTCCAACATCAAAAGATTATAGATATTCATCTTAATTCTACATTTTAAGATGTCATACCTTAAAAAAAACTTTTTCCTACATGAATATCTACCGTGTTAAACCTTCAAACCTAAAGCATGTCGATTAGCATTGCCGATGCCATTCAATTTAAAATATAGGATTGGGCATTACCACCCGTCTTTTTCTTTGTTCATGGGTGAAAAAGTAATAATAATAAATTGAAGCATCAAAAAGTTGTGAAATAGTAATAATAATAAATAAAAAGCATCAAAAAGTCCATTGCTTTTAAGATAAGTTCACGCGGCCAATGAGGAAAATTGGGTGAGCCACCCCAACTAAAAGAAAAAGAAACCAAGAGAGATCAAAAAGAATAGGGAAATGGTTTGAAAGGGCTGCAGCCCTATCAAGATAAATAAAACCCACCTTATAATTCATCAAAATTATAATTCAAGTATTGAAAAACCTTTACAAGGGTCATCTCGGCCTGAAGATATTATTTGTGAAAACAAATTAAGATTTTGACATCTAAAAAATGTGTGGTGTAACAAATTACATAAACTGTCCAATTCACCTTAAAATTAAGCGTTCATATCCACAAGATCTGTATATTTTTTTACGATTAAATGTATTATAAGTGATGGCAATTGATTTTAGAATCATCATGGAGATTTTCGTTGTCGAAAGTGCTTTATAAATGGGGATTTAAAGTGCGGTTTTATTTTGTTTTCAAAAAGCTTAAGCCCTATGCAAACTTCATCCAAAAGGAAAAGATCATAAACGGTTAGAGAGAGAACGATAAAAAAGAAAAAATCATAAGAGAGAGAAAGATAAAAAAGAAAAATCGTAAGAGAGAGATAAAAAAGGAGAGATAAATCAAGAGACTGTTTGTCTGTCTTAGAAGTGAGAAAGCCATGAGAGCGAGAAAGAGAGAGGTAGAAAACTAGAGAGAGAAAGAGAGAGGTAGAAAACTAGAGAGAGAAGAAAAAAAAAAAAAGAGAAAGAGAGAGGGAATTAAAGTTGTAATTTGTAAGGTAGTGTTTGACAAGAAGTGGTCTTCTTCTTTTCATTATAGGGAGACAATATTATTCTTGCTTTCTAAAATGTTCCAACTAGCCAAAGAAACCATCATCACATTAAAGAAACAAATTATTTTATTATTTCTTTTGCCAAAGTTCTAACCTCTTTCCTCTGTCTTTCACAAAATCTTTTCCATTCTGATTTATAAATAATCGAAAATTTAACTACATTAAAAAAAAAAACACCTAAGTGACCAAAATACCCCCGATAAAGATTATTTTTCTCCCACTCTATTGATATCAATAGATATTGGCTTAGTGCTTTAGGGGACCCCTGATGTCGATTATTTTTCTCCCAAACTCCATAGCAAAAGATATGGATTTAATGCTGGGGGCACTTTTATTGGTTTTGAAAGAGCAGATTTGTTAAAGAAAAGTATATAAAGATGTTATTTACTTTTAATACAGGTTAAATTTTAAATTAAGTGGTTTTGAGTGTGGCATTAGTTAGACTTAAAGTTCAAAATTGGATTTTTCAAATTTTGTGTGACACCAAGCCATCCAATTTAATATCTAGGGGCTACTAGCAATTGTGATCTCTTCCCTTTTTAAATATAATTCAGAAAAGATAAAGTTTCTATAAGACCCAAGCTTTATGAAAACAAAATAATGCATCACATCAAATCTTAGATTGTAAAGCACTTTAAGCAACAGAAATGTCCATGATGGTTTTAAAATCAATTTCCAACACCAATAATAAAATTTAAAACTAAAAAAATATACCGACAATGCGGATATATGAACATTTATTTTCAAGGCAAAATAAACGGTCTAGATAATTTGTTACAATGTGTACAATTTTTAGAGTTTGAAATCCAAATTTCTTTTATAAACCATGATATACAAGGTGAGATGATTGATGTAAAAGTTTCCAACACTTGAATTATAAGTTTCAATGAGTTATGAGGTGAGGTTTACTTATTTTGATAGGGCTGCAGCTATGATAAATCATTTTTTTCATAAAAATGTGAGAATTAAAATAAATAAATAAATAAATTAAAAAAAAAAACTATAGGTATTTAAATCATTTCGCGACCAAAAGGCAACCTACTTCGTATTCAAAATGCAAAGGGGGCATTATCGATATTTAGGCAAATGTCATGGCCGTCCGCTCATAATATATCTGCAATGCCGCTCCATTGTCGAATCAAATCTTTAAGAATTAATAGTTTTTCTTCTTTTTTTTTTTCATTACATTCCCTATTTGTAACTTCTATTTACTCATTTCTCGAACCCTGTTAAAAATTAAAATTTTTATATTCATTTTATTGATTTGACCCTGACAATTCTGATATATAAATTGCAACAGAGAACGTAGTTAGTTAAGCATTCTTCTCTGTAAATAAGATTCCTCTGCAAATCATCTGAATAGCCCAGAAATTTTCTTTGTAGTTTATTTTTTTTGTTTCTTGTGGGGAGAGATTCCCCTGCAAATCAAAGTAGAAAGCTTCTGACATTTTCATTTTATTATTTTTTGGTTTTTTTTTCTTTTGGGAGATAAATTCAGCAAGAATTCACAGGATTCACATAGAATTCTCTGCAATTCATAAAAGAAAACGCGGACTTCTTATTTTTCTTCAGTTTGTTTATTGGTTTTTATATTTTGGGGAGATAGAAATTATTGAAGCAATATCAGAAAACTAACATTTCCCTGCTGATCATAATAGAAATGATCCACTGCTGATCATAAAAGAAACCCTTCAACTCTTTTTTTAAAAAAAAAAATTATCAACAGTGATCATAATATTTATCAGTTTCAAGAACCACTTTTTTTTTCTTTTTTTGGTAGTTTTGTTTGGTTTTTTAATTTTGGGGAGATGAAGTTTTGCAAGAAATATCAAGAATACATGGAAGGGCAGGAGAAGCAGCTGCCTAGAGTGGGTTTTAAGAAATTGAAGAAGGTTTTGAAGAAATGCAGAAAAAAGGAAATGCTCAAAGATGGATTTGAACACTCAACCTCAGCTTGCCCTGATTCATGCTCAGGTAAATGCTCATGGCTTTGTACCTTGCATTGTAATTGCAATGTTTATTGATCACTCACTACAACACTGAGTTTTTTAATTCTTTGTATTTAGTACAGTATTTTTAATTATGAGAGAAAAATTGCAAGAATGATGACTGAAGTGAACGGTGCCGTTTCATTTCCTAATTTGTTCTATTTTTTGTATTTTGAAGATCCTCTGTTTACTTTGAATATGCGAGAAATGGCTCGAATGGGAATTGAAGTGTAATTCTGCCATGTTGCATATTTTTTCTGTTATTTATCTTTGGATAACTGGCAAGCACCCATGATTCTTTTACATTATTGTTTTTATTTTTCAGCTCTTTATTTTCTAAATTTTACTGTCTTTTTTCGGGTGCAAAAGTCAGGCTTTGCTTTTTTCTTGTTGAATCGCTTGTAATTATTAAGACACCCAAGGTGATGTAATATATTATAACGATTGTCTGTTACTTATTCTTGCTTAGGAGTTGATGTTTACTTGAGTTGGATTGAGATGAGTCTTTTGCATCATTCCAAAGCCTTGATCATATGATAAATCACGATATAACTCTTAAATTTGATTTGCAGTGTATATTATGGTTCTCAGTCTCAATCACTGGAATGATTACAAAATAAACCATGTTTTTCTTGATTCTATGGTATGTATTGTTGTCCTCAGTGTTAGTTAAAGAAAAACAGAAACGCCAAAACTTTGATTTCTTCAGTTTTGTAGTTCGGGTTTATTTTTGGAGAACTTCAAATACTTTAGATCATTCTGAATTTCTTCAAGGCATAGCGGTGAGGCTTCTTCCTTGTTGAAGCAATAACCTCTGGTTTATAAGATGACAACTCCCCTGTTCATATAACTCAGTTTTCTCTATTCTTTTTTCTATGTTTTAGACTTTTAGTTACCATGCGTATCTATTTTCTTTCAATTTCTTTTATTTTCAGCACTCTCTATTCTCTTTTCTGTATTTTAAATGACCATGCTTATTGGTTTTCTTTCATATTCTTTTATTTTCAGCTTATTGTATTTTTGGTGGTTAATTGAACACTTATGAAATTTTGTCATAACTTCATATTGTAGATTTTTTTGCAATTTTTCCCCTTGGGTTTCTTTAGTTTAAGATTGAGCTACCCATGACGCCTTCTTTTTGTTTTTTAATCTTCTATGAATGGTCAGAGTTGTATTCACTATTTCTTTTGATTTTGAATATCTATTGCATCTATTGAGACCCCTACAACATTTTGTAATAAAGTAGTACTATTTTCTTTACTTTCCTTATAGTGACTGCTTCATTTCAATCTCATGAATTGTGGATTGTTTATGTTTATTCTCAAAAGTAATATATTGCTGTCATTTTCTGTAGCTTAAAAAATACTGTTCATCATTTATTGTTCCTCCCACATTTATCTGTCATTCTTTATTAGTGTTTTGTTTTTACCGACCACTTCAATCATCAATAAAATGCCAACACCGCACAACCCAAAAGCAAACCAAACCACCCCCCCTGAAGAACTCAGACCCCTTTAAAAGCCACTCTTTGAGTTGAGTTAATCAAACAATGGAAGAACATTATTATGAATAGAGATTCCCATTATATCTGGATATGTAATGATATTGTTTTCCAGAATAGAGAGTCTAAGATCACTAAGAATACTTAACATTATTTGGAAATTCTAGCTGGTTTATTTGAAGATATTAATTTAAGATTTTCCTCATTTGAGCTTAATTACAAAGGGTTATAACTTCAAAATTGATTTGCATATGTCTCATGTACAGTAGCACCTGATAAATATGAAAGAAGTGGAAAAGAAGAAGGGGGGCAGGGGTGGGGGGGTGTGCAGAAGATTCCACCCCGCCCCCATTTATTTTCTGCAACATTGAAGAGCACTCAGCAAGTACTGTAGTGAATCACCCAAGTACTGTAAACCTGTGCATCAGCCTGAGTTGCCCCTAAATTCTATAGTACTCGGGCGAGTCTCTATAATATTATCCTGAGTACTGTAACTATGCAATCCCCCCCGATGTTGGTGAGGATAATTGCCTCCAAGTCTACTCATCCGAGTCCTCAAACACGGTCTCAATGAAGTCTGATTTGGAATTCTTATATTTCATTGATTTGGAATTCTTGATTAGAATGGGTTATACTTGCTTCGGGCAAGATCGCCTGCTATAGTTGTCATGTTCCTTGCAGTTTCTGATTTTCTGTCCATTTATCTGTATAATCAAGGAATCTAGGATCCATTGCAGTTTGAGAATGCCTTATCTTGAAGACTCTTTTTCTCTCTCCATCCTAAAATTTAAAATTTTGACCTTGCAGTGTGTGATGCCACTTTCTTCCCTTCTCTCATCGAGGAGATGTCTGCAATAGTCTGCTGCTTCAATGCCCGTGCCAAAAAGTTACTTGAGTTGCACTTAACTTCAGGTGTCCAGAAGTATATCATATGGTTTAGGAGCAAGCTCCAAGGTAATCATGTGGCTCTGGTTCAAGAAGGAAAAGAGTTGGTTACCTATGCCACCATCAATGCAGTTGCCATTAGAAAAATCCTCAAAAAATATGATAAGGTGAGCTTTAGTTTGAGAGAGAGAGAGAGAGAGAGGGAGAGAGCAAGATCTACTGATATATTGTCATCTGTTGTGACTTTTGCCTTGATCCTTAGCTATCACATTTGGCAGATTCATTATTCAAAGCAAGGGCAGGCCTTTCAATCACAAGCGCAAGCAATGCATATAGCCATTCTTCAGTCTCCCTGGCTTAATGAGCTTATTGCTTTCCACATTAATTTGGGGGACACCTACAATAGAGAGACTGGTATTCCGAGAAGTGTGTTTGACAATTGCTTGCTCCAAGTTGATGGGGATAAACCATCTCTGTCATGCGTGCTTTTTTATTCAATCAAGATTGAAATCGATCTAACTTGTTCTATATGCTTGGTAAGCCTGCCTACTTATGGTTCAGGTCCTTATCAACTTCGATTACCATCATTTTGCTTTTGTCAAGTTTTATTGATGCTATTTCTAATTGCCTTATAAAATTGAGGATTTCATGAATTTGCAGGATTGTTTGAGAATTGAGTTCCTTAATTTTTGAATTTTGGTCTACTTGGTAAATGTGATCTAACGGCAGTGAGTGCAATTGTGAAATTCAGAAACTCTTTCGACAGATAAATGCATTTAATGATACATAAATGTAAGTTTGTTTTTGTGTGTGTGTGAGAGAGAGAGCATGACAACTATAATCTCATTATACAGAAGAGAGATAATGGATTACTTACCCAAAAAAAACAGAGAGATTATGGATCTTCTTCTTTTTTTTGTGCGTGTGTGTTTTGAACTCTCAATTGCTTGATATGTGGTAACTCTTACTAGCCAAATTGCTATGAACTTGATATATTTCACAATTCACATTATACAAAGGAGACTTAATCTCTATAGCAAATGTTGAAGGGGTATATTTTCTTTGTAATTGCAGGAGACTGTTTTTGACCCTGTGTCCCTTAAATGTGGCCACATCTTCTGTTACATGTGTGCCTGTTCAGCCGCATCAGTGAACGTCGTTGATGGCCTAAAGACTGCCAGGAAGAAATCAAGGTGCCCTCTCTGTAGGCAGGTATGATTTCTCTCTCTCTCTCTCTCTCTC